CAAATAAGGTTAAGATATACATTCAAAAATTCGGACTGATCGGCATTTTTTGATGAGTATAGGTGATACGCACCATACAACATTGAAAATGATGACGGTGATGAGAGTTGTGACACTGAATAATTTTATTATTCTATGTATTTGAATGCAATAAAAATTATGTAGATCAAATTTTTTTTCAGGAAAATAAAAAAAAAAATTTTTACCACTCAACAAAAGCAAAAAGTTCCTTCCCAAAAAATTAGGTTTAAAAAACAAAGATTTTTCGTTTTCAATGCAATTGCAACGCATTGCTTTGCAATTTAATTCAACGCAACTCAATTTCAATGCAATTGCAACCTGTTTTATAAAACAAAACATTTGCCGTATGACACAATTTTTGCTAAATATGGTGAAAACGTTGATCGCGCCAAAAACCGAAAAGACCAGGCGCGGCTAGACGGAAAAGGAGACAATCGGCGAGAAAACTGCGCGGAAGTCGCACGACTTGCGAGTTTTGGAAGGAGATCGTGTCACGGCAAATGTTAAATCTTTTTTTTTTGTGTTAATGAAATAAATGATAGTATTTCAGGATTTTTCTTTCGTTGCATTATTAGGAGTTAAGTCCCTGAGGATTTATTGTTTCAAAGCATAATAATAATGTTTATTCTGTGATAAATTTTATCATAGCTTTCCTGAAACTGTTTAAGGGGTTCAAAGAGTTTGGGGTCACAACATTGATTGCTATTGATATATAGCCGATAAAATTTTTCTGATATCTCTAAGCATATCACCTCCTAATATGAAAATAATATCTGAGATATAGCCCTTGTGATTTTTGTATATATAACTCTTTAAAGTTTGTTGATTGACTATTTTTACGTTGCTGATCATTAAATTGTCCAATAAGAATACAATATCGTGATTTTGTGTTACCATTAAAGAAGGGATAAAAAATTCAAAAATTCTTGCTCGCGTTTAATAAAATTTGAGAACCAAATTTGGTTCGGGACAGATTTTTCCGACTTGTTCGGAGCTTTAGAACTCAAATAGAATAATTTTGGATTTAAATACTATTTTGAAATATTGATCTTTTTACAAGTTGCTTTATCTAGGTGCATATTATCACTTCAATTATATAAATCTTATGCATATTTTAACAAATAATATTTCATTGATTAAGGGTTCATTTCTTGTTCGGCAATCTGATTTGCAATGCAAAAATTCTTTTCTTCAATGCTGGCTGGCTGGTAATAACAAACTAAGTCAAATGTGTGATAATGGAACATTTGGATCATTCTCATTACAAGGTATGTGTATCCTACAGTATTAGTGGTGCATTTCATTCATATATATATATACAGTGTGTTAAGAAAAAAACGGCGGTGACAAAAAACTGCATACTTTAACAATTATGAAAAATAAATAAATAA